CTATAAATCCACCCATAACCCAGTTATGATATACATATTTATACAGTCTTGCTCCATTAACACTTCCTGGTTTGTATTTGAACCAAGTAAAAACTATAGCTATTTATTAACATCTGCTGATAAATCGAAGATATGACATGTCTTTTTGTGCTTTTGCTCAATAGTTCTAATATATTGAGTTATACCAAGTCCACAAGTTCAGCTGATATTATAATCTACGGTTCAATTATTATTTTGAGAAGCACCATTCAAAATTCCTGTGACAGCAAACACAAAAAAAAAAATCAGATTACACTGGAATAAACAGTTAAAATACAAGATTACACAAAATACTACAGAATAAGATGTCAGGCCCAGAAAGTACAGGTTAAAAGCACTCAATAAGACACCTCTAGAAGTTAACAGAATTAATATCTACATTATCCTCGTATTTCTTGTTCAAAGCACCACCATACAGACAATAAAGAACAAGCTGTATATTAGAGTTTATAACAATGAATGAATACTAACTTCAGTGAAAAATACACACCAGACAGTCTGTACAAAATGTTCAGATAAAGTGAAAAAAAAAATGGAATTACCTTAAAATATATGAACTTAGCCCTACATCTGGTAGTGACAAGTGATATTTACCTGAAAAATTACTTAACTTACTGTTTATGACAACAAAAATAAAGACTTAAGCCACATGACACATTCCTTAAGATGGGAAAAAAAGTAAACTTATAAATTTTTCAAGTTCACAAGAAACAAAAGTACGTTTGAAGATTTATGGTTTACGTACACACACTAGAATAAGTTTACTGGCAAGATCTGGACAGATTTTAAACTGAATTTTGTGTAAAATCAAATACTATAATATAAAACCAATGATTTACTTTAAGCTTGCATAAATTAGCGGGATAGAGGGGTGGGGGAGTCACAATATACCTTTGAATAAAAGCAAGGATCACTTAGTAATAAAATAATGTATGAAATATAATGATTTAACTTACTTCCTTTTTCTATTTGCAAGTGTCAACAAACAAATAATGCAAATGTAAAAAGGTATACTGAAATTGATATTTCACACAAAACTACAAACAGGTTGTACCTTAATAGTTTCTAATGAGAGACTGAACAAAAACTACAGTATATGACTCTCAGTTTTACAGTAATGCCTGATATTACTTCTCATATACGATCAGTACGCAGTGGAACATGTACGAGGTAGCTCTCAGGAACAAAAGTTGAAACTTACACAAGGATAAATGTTGGTCCTGACATTTCAAACATCCACGAGTTGTCCAGCCAGTGGTTCCTGGAACTTTTATCAAAAAGCACAGTGTAAACTAAAAGAACACAGTAGTAAATGATAAACAACTCCGTCCTCCTGGTTAATATGAAAGGGAACACTAAAATGTACAGAAAGATTATTTTCTCAAGCTTCCTGTGGGTTGAACAGTGTTTAATATATGTTAACTTATGTTGAAGCTTCACAAGAAAGTTACAATTGAGTTTTTTACACGTTGCAATATAAAACCAACTTTTATTATATATGCCACAGGTTACATAGTTAAGTTTGCATGTTTAGTTCACATTGTTAAATGTATATTATCCACAAAAAGTACTACATTTATCAGAGATAATACTTAAAGTATATGGATACCAAAATTTTATGTTTACATATAATTTCAGTAATTTATCTTCTGATCAGCTCTGATTCAAACTTCTCCCGATAAGTACATATAATTTCAGTAATTTAATCCACTGATCAGCTCTGATTCAAACTTCTCCCAATAAGTACGTATAATTTCAGTAATTTATCCACTGATCAGCTCTGATTCAAACTTCTCCCGATAAGTACATATAATTTCAGTAATTTAATCCACTGATCAGCTCTGATTCAAACTTCTCCTGATAAGTACATATAATTTCAGTAATTTAATCCACTGATCAGCTCTGATTCAAACTTCTCCCAATAAGTACATATAATTTCAGTAATTTATCCCCTGATTAGCTCTAAACTTCTCCCGATAAGTACGTATAATTTCAGAAATTTAATCCACTGATCAGCTCTAAACTTCTCCCGATAAGTACATATAATTTCAGTAATTTAATCCACTGATCAGCTCTGATTTAAACATCTACCGATAAGTACGTATAATTTCAGTAATTTAATCCACTGATCAGCTCTGATTCAAACTTCTCCCAATAAGTACGTATAATTTCAGTAATTTAATCCACTGATCAGTTCTGATTTAAACTTCTACCGATAAGTGAAAATAAAATTTTCATAAACTAAAGTCAGCCATAGTCCAGTCTGTTTTCCCTAGTTATATATTTTTTGTTATTCATTTTCAAATATTAATGCAACACTTCACACACCTTTTTAACTGTGAAGATAAATTTCAGTAAATAAATCATACCATAAGAAAAAACCTTCAAAGTAAGCATTTCTTCCAATTATAAACTCTAGAAATTTAGCAAACTTGGAAAGACGGCACAAGATCATTTAATAAAAGAAGTGTTAGCTAGTGGCTACTTTCATCCAACTTATTGTATACTTTATTAAGCATGTTTTCTTATTAGTCATTGAGTGTCAATTTACAAGTCTGGAACCAAAGAAAAAATCAGCAAACAGCATCCCAGGAGGCTCAAGTTTCATTTCTAGAGCAGCAGAAGGGATACCACCAGAAATATAGAGCTGCCAGAAGGAGAAATTAGGTTTTCAAATACAATTTATTCAATCTGAAGGCAACGTCAGACATTTTGGTATGTCCCCAGCACTAAAACATTTAGCCATGGGATACCACCTGCAATTGTAAAAGACCCGCTGATTCAATTGACTTAAAGTCAATCAGCTAATGAAGTACATGGAAATGGACACATTTTCAAAGGATCAAATGATGGATTTGGAAACTTACTACAAAGTGCCAGATTTACTGGGGCACTTTGAAAATTAACTGCTGTTCACCTCTGGCTGCTTTGGCTTCCCAGAAAATATGAAACTCACAGGCCAATCCAGTTTATGCATATAATGCATGGATTCTAATTTGTCTTTGAATGTTTCTATAACCCCAGTGAAGTGAAGTTGTCAAAATCAATAATACACACAGCTCATATGATGTTTGTTGAGACATAAGTAAATGGTGAACTTGCAAAAAACAAACACCATTACATCCTGCAGGGCTTCATTAATGTTCTGTTAACCATACTCTGACACAAAAAACTTGGTACAAACATTACATCCTGCAGGGCTTCATTAATGTTCTGTTAACCATACTCTGACAAAAAAAACTTGGTACAAAGATTACATCCTGCAGGGCTTCATTAATGTACCGTTCAACCATACTTTGACACAAAAAACTTGGTACAAACATTACATCCTGCAGGGTTTCATTAATTAATGAAACCTTGCAGGATGTAATGTTTGTACCAAGTTTTTTGTGTCAAAGTATGGTTAACAGAACATGTTTCATTAACCATACTAAGACACAAAAAACTTGGTACAAACATTATATTCTGCAGGGCTTCATGAATTACTCTTTAATGTACCATTAACCATACTTTGACACAAAAAATATGGTAATACATATAGATTACCCAGCCTTTATAGGAACCTTTACATGAGGACAACACAAATGCCTTGTAAGCACCCTAGCCTCCACTGCAAATAAAATGGAGGTAAATCATAGATGCGTCCAACTAATAAAAGTGAGATTTCACTGGAAAATACAAAAAACCTGATTTTTTTTTTCTTTCTGTAAACATCTATCACACTTAAGGGACAAATACAAGTGAATTGTACACAACAGTTATGGGGAATCCCAGTGAACCACTGTAATATTGGCACCTATGTTAGATGAAGTGATGTAAAGACTTACAACAAGATCTCCAACTAGCTTGCAGCTGCTTTTAACATATTACATACCATTTACAACAACCTATCCTGTTAAACCATTTACACTGTAAATTATCCATCACAAAATACTGAAAACTTTTACAAGGAGATCTGTCATGATAAAACGAACAAAAAGTTAAAAGTTCTTACAAGAGACTAAAGTGGTAAAACTACACTTCAAAGAACTACCTTATGCTACTTTTCGAAAGTACGGAAAAAGTTAAGAGCAGAAAAGTCTCTTGTTAACTTCAGTAAGTTGACAGAAACTGATAGATGTTTCTATAAAATGACAGTTATGTAGTTAGGAATACGTATACATTATCGAGTTATAACATTTCTAACCATATAATTGTCCAGCTGATGCTGAACCTGCAATGTTTTCACAAAACAATTCTAAGTAAATCAAAACCAAAATTCACATAATCATTTTAAAAAACCATTTTGCATCCAGGAACATATAAAACAGAAACTTGTACATGATACATTAAACTGTTAATAACTCAATTAAAGTTTAGGGAAGATCTCTAGGTATTACATTTTAGAGCCATTTAACGCTCTGAAGGTCAATTCTGATTAAACTTGGAAAATAGATGTCACAATAAAAAAATCAAAAAACATGACAATATGTAATGAAATACAGTATGCATTAACTAATCAGTGTTACATAAACCAATCACCTTCTGGTCAGAATTTTGAGCATTTTTACCAAAAGGACTTTAAACAACATAAAATTTACAAAGTAATTCTGTTTGTTCAACACAAATTCAAACTGAAGCCCAGTTTAATGTTAACACTTTTAGAGCTTCAATTGACTTCAACTTGAAAGTTTACTTAAACATTTTCCTTTGCTAGACACATAAATTAAAAAAAACCAATAAGACTTGAAAACTTTAGAAGGTATTGTATTTAAGTTCTGTATTCATAAAAAAAACACAACTAAAATTAGTTTTAAAGCATAAAAATAGAGCAAAGGAGGATATTTCCCTATTTAAAGAAATAAATTAACATTTTTATACATCAATTCACTTCACTTGTTGTTTTAAATAAAATTACGATAAATTTTACTTATAAAAACCAACAACACATTTTTCACAACTGTGAAATATCAAATTCAAGAATCTGAAGAATGAAAAAAAAAAAGCTCAACAAAAAAGGCATTAACCCCATCTCTACTATATCAATTGTAAATTATCTTAAATCACTGATACCTCTTCCTGTATTTACTACTGAAAATTACAGCTTTATGGATTACTTTTCACTTTTGCTCTGCTGCTAATGGATTGCAGTGACATGAAAATGGTAAATGTCCAATAAATAATGAATAGGAACACCTATATCTAAAGTTGGCTACTATGAGGTTATCAAGTTGGAAGAAAATAAATATCTAAGTCCACTGATTTAAGTTGAGTGACATTTCACTATGTCAATAAGGGCATGTCACCAGAGTGCAGGAATGTTGTTCAGATACTATTATAATGTATCATACAGATTATACTAGTATTGGTCTCTGTTTTACTGGGACAGAATCTCTCCAATACAAGTAAACCATTGAGCATCTTGGTAATGTACGTGATATAAAAAGTTTCGGTCTGAGGTGTTTTATGTAAAGTGTGTTTCCTGAGGTAAACTGATGATTTCATTAATATTGTACTCTTACAAAAAATTTAGTTCAGTTTAATACACATACAAACAAACAAGCTGCAGTTCACTTTATGTATCATAAAAACCATGTGATGGTAGAATTGAAGCAAAAACTAAAACCATTTTAGGATGGCACTGAGATAACTCAGTTAACATGAAACTAAAATGTAGAAAACAACTTTTTAAACAGCTCCTGGTCACTGGATAATATAAAAACTGACTCAATAAATGAAGAAAATGTACAGTTAGTCCATGAAAGTTATGTTTCATAAGAAACATGCCTACGTCTACTTACATACTACATCTAAAACAGCTTCTGTACGCAGCTGTTACTACATAACCTTGTTGTTGGAAAAAGGCACAACAGGGTCTATGGGTGGTAAGAGACTGGGTTCTTTAGAGTAGGGAACTAACTGTGAGCAAGCAAGTGCCGGTAGTTTCTCTGAGGTAGTAGTTGGGTTCTTCAGATCTAGAAAAAAAATGGAAAATTTACCATGTCAAATTGTTTAATTTTCATATAGCATCTAGAGTATTCACACATGGTACATTTATTCTTGGATCAAACTTGTTTAATCTTCATACATCATCTAGAGTATTCACACATGGTACATTTATTCTTAGATCAAACTTGTTTAATCTTCTATACCATCTAGAGTATTCACACATGGTGCATTTATTCTTGGATCAAACTTGTTTAATCTTCTTATACCATCTAGAGTATTCACACATGGTGCATTTATTCCTGGATCAAACTTGTTTAATCTTCTTATACCATCTAGAGTATTCACACATGGTGCATTTATTCTTGGATCAAACTTGTTTAATCTTCATATGCCATCTAGAGTATTCACACATGGTGCATTTATTCCTGGATCAAACTTGTTTAATCTTCTTATACCATCTAGAGTATTCACACATGGTGCATTTATTCTTGGATCAAACTTGTTTAATCTTCATATGCCATCTAGAGTACTCACACATGGTACATTTATTCTTGGATCAAACTTGTTTAATCTTCATACATCATCTAGAGTACTCACACACGGTACATTTATTCTTGGATCAAACTTGTTTAATCTTCATATACCATCTAGAGTACTCATACATGGTACGTTTATTCTTGGATCATAATGGTTTAATCTTCTTATACCATCTAGAGTATTCACACATGGTGCATTTATTCTTGGATCAAACTTGTTTAATCTTCATATACCATCTAGAGTACTCACACATGGTGCATTTATTCTTGGATCAAACTTGTTTAATCTTCATACATCATCTAGAGTACTCACACATGGTG